GCTCGTGTGGGTGCCCGGTGGGATGTGCCAGAGCCGGTTGCGCTCGTAGCGGGGCCCGGTGCAGTGACCTGAAGCCCAGCGTGTGCTTGCAGGGGTGCCGGTGTGATGTCCTGGGGCACAGCGTTTGCCCACGCTGGTGCCCGGTGGGGTGACCTGAAGCCCCCCAGCGTGGTGTCCCGGTCCCCAGGGCGTGCTTCTACCGGTGCTCGTGCCGTGATCTGAAGCCCCGTGTGTGCTTGTCTGGGTGCCCAGTGCGGAGTCCCAGAGCACCAAGAACCAGCCCGTGTCTGTACAAGTGCCCACAAAGGGACGACCCGGCGTGGGCTGGGGTTGGGCTTGGTGGGACCAGACCTGAGCCCCTCCTCTGTCCTCAGCGCTCACCTGCTGCTGCTGGTGGTCAATGCAGTTGGCCCAAGCTTTGCGTCCCCACCGACGTTTTCTTTTCGTTCTCAGTAAAAGCGACGATGCCAATATGGGTGGTTCTTCTTTCACGGATCATAATGAAGGAAAAGCAGACGACGAAGGTGCGGACAGGTTTGCTGAGGTTTCTTCTCTTGGTGGTGTTGGTGTGTGCTCTGCTGGCTGGGGTCAGGAACGCTCAGGCTTTGGTTAACTGGGTGAATTTTGTGATTGAAATTAGATGATGCACATTTTACAAGTTCCTTTTCCTTTTATCGTGAATGTCAAGAAAACACGTCTAAACGTTGAGCAAGGTTATGCTCTCTGATATGCTGGAGTTGTTACAGCATTATTGAGGTCACTTAATTTCCTCAAACTACAACAATATCAAAGTTGATCCCTGGTTCAGTTGCTTTATTCTTCCTTTTCCTTTCCTCCTCAAATGAGCAGTGTGTAGAAACTCAGTTGAAGTGAAAATTCTTGGAAGATGTAAGCTGCTCCTCTCTCTTCCTCTTTCAGGTCTACTTGTCTCTGATCCCCATAATAACCGGTGTCCTGTTGGCCACCGTCACGGAACTTTCCTTTGACATGTGGGGACTGATCAGTGCACTTGCTGCTACTCTGTGTTTTTCACTTCAGAACATCTTCTCAAAGAAGGTAATAGTTTTGCTGTTCATTATATTGGTCAGTAGCATCATCCTTTAGCAGGATAGTGTGTATTTTCCAGCACATAAATATTTTTTTTTTTTTAAAAGTTGACTTTGTAGTCAAAGGAGCCCAAAGAAACAGTTGGCTATTTTGTATGCCTCTTCTCTACAGCTCTTCCTACCCATCAAAGTTACACTGAAAATTGGGCAGAACTCAGAGTTTATCCTGAGCCTTTTCTTTACTCCTCAGCATGGATTTTTTTTTTTTCTGCTGACAGTTTGATAGTGCTTAAATTTAACAGCTCATTTGAAAGCTTTTAATGTGTCTTGTTGTATCAAGTCTTTCTCTGTAGTGAATGAGTCAGTGTCAACACTAGGCACTCCTTGAAATCTTAGAAACAAAGTTAAAATGTATGTCTTGAATCTCTTTAGCTGCAAAATGATTTCTGGTTGCAGAGCATTTTAAATGTATTACTATCCTGTTAATACTGAGAGTCACCACTCAAGAAACCATTGTTTTTCAAATGGACGTCTGTTTTTCTTTGGTCATCCTTACAGGAAATTTATACTCTAACAGTATTTACTTATTTTCCTAATTTATCTGTCGTCTAAAGCTGTTTGTTTGTTTGTTACACGGCTCCTGAATCTCCGCTGATGCTGTGGGCAGTAGCTGAAGAAAGGCTGTTTAATGATGTTTTTTTGTCAGGTGTTAAGAGATTCCCGAATACATCATCTTCGGTTGCTGAACATACTTGGGTGCCATGCTGTGTTCTTCATGATCCCAACGTGGGTTTTGGTAGATCTTTCTTCCTTTTTGGTAGAGAATGACTTGGTAAGTGTTATATTTGGGAACTGCTGTTAAGAAATAAAAGAGAAAAAAAAAATCAACCGCACACCAACAAACACGGCCACCCACACCAAAAACGTGCACTTAAGTGTTTCGGTGTAGTTCCTCATCAGCATGGAAGGAACTGTTGTGAAATACCTGCACATTGTTTCACAAGACAATATATTAAAAAATAAGCCTAGTGTTTATTGTGAGAATTCATGTCAGGGTTAGGAGAGGTAGCTTATGTGACAGTGTAAATCTCAGGAGCTAGTAGCTGGAGACAGGAATAAATGCACCCAGAATGTGCGTTGCAAGTATGTAGAGGTGTTTTCTCAGCATTGGTAGTTGCATACTGTAACACCAGCGGGTGCTTTTTTGGAGTTAAGTTGCAGATGTTCTGCCTGTCAACGGCAGGTAAGAAGTGACTCGAGTTCTATTTGTGTTTCTTTGTGTCTTATTTGAAACCTGAGATAATTTTTTTTTCTTGTAATGTTTGTGGTTACAACAGAGCACGATGTCTCATTGGTCCTGGACTTTGATGCTGCTTATAATCAGTGGATTCTGTAATTTTGCCCAGAATGTCATCGCCTTCAGTATTCTTAACCTGATCAGCCCACTAAGTTACTCTGTCGCAAATGCCACAAAAAGAATCATGGTCATCACAGTGTCCCTTATAATGCTTCGCAATCCGGTTACAAGCACCAATGTCCTTGGAATGATGACAGCTATCTTGGGGGTCTTCTTATATAACAAGGTAAAGAGTTGGTTGGTTGGTTTGTTTATTCAGGAAACTCACTTGAAACACTCCAGCAGCTTTGAATTATTTTTTGTACAAGAAGTTAACAGCTAGCAGAACTAGAACTAGAAAGAGGAATGAGGTTTTTATTAGAAGCCACTAATATTTTAAGATTCTAACAGGCATAGATAGTAGTGTAATTGTAAAAACTGTATGCTTTTTTCTAGGTGTATGAATATTTTAGGTGATAGCTAAGAAAAAACATTCTTTCTTTCTTTCCTAGACAAAATATGATGCAAACCAAGAAGCAAAGAAGCAGCTACTTCCAGTTACAACTGCAGACCTTGTGAATTTGGACCGGCATCGAAACACTCCTGAAAAGTCTCAGAACGGACTTACGGCATTTGCACAACATGGAGACTATCAGTATGGTCGAACCAATATCTTAACAGACCACTTCCAGTATAATCGGCAAAACTATCCAACTACCTACAACTTAAATCGTTTTGATATATAGAATCCTGGCAAACAGGTGTAGACTGTGATTGAAAGTGTCCCCAACATTATCAGAAACTTTTAGTACATCCATGAATGTAAAGCCATTTTATTGTACAGGTTTTGCAGAAGGGAAGATGCATGTGTAGTGAAAGCGGTACAGACCTTCGACTTCTGCTGAGCAGACCTGGGAAACAGCTAGATCTGACACTGGAACTAAATGCACGGTGTTGTACAGAGATTCTGGTGAAATGCACGTACAAAACTTCAGAGTAAAACATCTGCTGTCACTGCTCCTTTTCAGAGTCTGTCAACTGGTTATTCTTTTGGCAGCTAAATTCTGGCCAGTATTTTGTTTCCACACCGGTAACGTCACCTTTAATTTGTTCTCTGATATGTTTAATGATACTTAGGTGAAACTTTTAGAAAGAAGGGAAACTAAGGTGTACTTCTGGTTATCAGGATTTGTCTGTTTGAGGAGGATTGACTGACGTACATCTGTTGCAGATAGGTAGACCTGAATTCATCTTGAGCAAGTACGAAACTTCATGTGGGTATTAATTACTTTTGTGCCTATGCCTTTGGTTTTTGATGACAAACCAGAAATGTTTCTGAAAGAGTAGACAGTAGAAAGATTGATCTCTTCAAGAAGCATACTTCAGGCATAGAGAAAGAGAATTCTCTAAAATCACTGTTGTCCCAGTCACTGTAGATAACAAACAAACAGAGCTTAAGATCGTAAATGTTTTCTGAATAACGTAGACCTGTAACTTCAGACATTGCTCTTCCTTGGCAATACAGAAAACACCTTCACAAATAAAGTGTTTGGAATAATACCATTTATTTTTCTACTTGCTTCACACCTGTTCTTACAAACTCTTCTGTTGGTTTAGAAATTGAAAGGTTTAAGGTGTTTTCTGCTCAGTTTTATGCACAAATTATGTTCTCAAATTATGATTCATATATTATGAATGCATTAATTTGAATAACCATAATTCTTAATTGTTTCTTAAGTCTATCTTTTTAGCCCCTAAGTGTTTCTCTTAAGTTTCTTCATTACTGCTGTTGGACTTGCCGTGTGCATTTAGCCTGACTTCTACTTTCCACTGAATGAAGTTAAATTTTGCATTCCGTTCTGCTCCTGCAACTCCCCTCGCTCGAATAGCAAATTGTTAAGAAAAAATTATTTGAATCGGCAGTAAATAGATAATTTATGGTTAAGAAAAGAACTGATTCAGTTAGTATAAATGAACATACTAAATTCTAGGCGAGTTGATTGTTGTGCATCAGATGCTGCATTTGTGCACGAAAGGAATGAAACCAGCTGAGCTTGGGTTTCACTGGATCAGATTGTTACTGTTGTTATCTTAGCAAAAGAAGATTTTAGAGGCCTTCTTTCCTTAACAGGAGAGCTGTTGTACAGTGAGATTTTTGATAGCATAAATATTATGTTTTTACTAGAGAGGTATTAGATACCAGTGACAAAACTTAGGGTCTGGTACAGAACACTCCACTTATTTATTGCTTTAAAAATGACCATTTCTGTGATGCGAGATGATGATTTGGCTCCTTTGGGGATGATAAAGAATTTATTTTTAAGTGCAAAGTCAACCTTATTCTTTTGGCTGACTGTAGAGGTAGTTATGTATTCTGCCTTCCACCATAAAGTCCAAATGAGGAAATGGTCTTTCTGAAACTTCAGACATGGGTTAAATATGCTGCTAATGTTTGTGAGCAGAACTTCCTTGACTTGGAGTTGAATCTGTTCATGCTAGCTTAGAACTTGGGCTTTTAGTTTAGAAAATCTAAATAAATTATTCCCTAAACCTGGTTAACAAGAACAAGATAATGAGGAAAAGCATTCTTTCAAATGAAACGGCTTTTGCCTGTTCCAGTATTAATTTTTGTATAATTATTTCTTTTTAATATGGGAAAGTGCAAAATGTGTCTTTCTAAGGCTCACTTCCCAATATTTGAGTGCTTTTACATACGTGTAAAAAGGATTGTGTGGACTCTGGATTTGGATTAGGTTCTGGCTCTGCAAAAGACTAATTTGAGGATGAGGCATTTAGGCTGAGATTTTTCAGAGGGGCTGAAGTTCTCCAACTGCTTTCAAAGGGAGCTAGCTGTAAATCATTAGACTCCTGCAAGTCCTTCATTGTGTTCTTTGTGCCTCAGTTTCCCATCTGGAAAATGAGGATGATTCTTCCCTACTTCATAGGGGGGTGAAACACCAGGAAAAAAAAAACAGTGGGGGCCCAGGGATGTAGAGGCATACATGAGTTCATCTGTACATCTTCTGGTGTGCCTACTACTGTAACATCTTCATACAACTTGAACTGTTTCTCAGAACAAAGCTCCGTGTACTTTATTCACAGATCAGAGACTTTATTAAATATATTTAGATGGTTTCCTTTTAAAGGGCATAACCAGATCTTTTTTTTTTGCAAGAGAAAGCTTGCACTGCACGCTTACTGTGGCAGGTCTTTAGCTCAGCTTTTTCTGTCAAGAGTATGGGAGCAGGTGAGGGCTTTCTGTTGAAAACACCTTGTCCCAAATTGTGGTCTGGGCTCGTGGCCTCACTGTGTCTCCAAAACAAAACTGCTGTAATTGCAGAGCAAAAAGGGACTGACCTGAAAGGAGGATGTCATTCGTTTAGGGCCCAGAGAATGAACCTCTGGGCTCCTTCCCTGGAGACTGCCTGACAATGTTCATGCTCTTCTAGTTCAGCTCTGTGGTCAACAGGGATAATTTTGTATGGTAGAATGTATAATTAAAACGGTTAAGTGAATTGGTTACAAGAGGTGGTTTTGCCGAGTACCTGAATCCAAGTCCGTAAGCAATATTGCCCACATTCAGGTAAAGGAAGTTTCTGATACTGTTGTAATATATATTTTAATCTTGGACCGCTGTGAGATTTTGTTTGGCAAGGTGAAACGTTTGTTTTAACATGGTTTGTAAATTAATGACGTATTTAACTATGTACATAGGTCTGTAGAAAGTATGGAAACACTGGAATAAAAAGGGCATATCTAGACAATCGTGTATAATGACCCTGTTATTAAATCCAAGTGAAGGGGGTTGGGTTGGGTTTTTGACTTCCAGGAAGCTTTGGGAGTGCCATACATCGGTAGTAATGGCCACGTCTGAGAAATTGGATTAATGTTTTGCTGTATGGGTGTGATACGTTACTGGATTGTTACGTAGGCTGAAACTACGGTGATCTGAATGCCATAACTATCGTGTTAGGAGACTAGTCACTGGTATCATTAGAAATCATTTGATTTCCATTGTGTGTTTCTAACATACATGTAAATACATCACAAAATTGGGAAATACTTCCCAAAACAGTCCTGGATAGTTCTAGAAGTACCAGTGTGAAAGAAACCAATCTCTCCCCACTATGTGTGGATTTTCTGTTGATGGCTCTGTAGAGTATTTGGTGCTCTTTGAAGATCTCTTGAAAATATTTCCCTTGCAGATTGAATTTTAGTACCCAGTAGTGATCAGAGCATCTTTATCATCTGGTAAAATGCTTGTGTTTTTTAAATACTTGAATGCTAAATAAAATTGAGGCAATACTTAGGCTTTATAGATGTACAGTCATTTGTAAAACTAGTGTTGGTAATTTGGGGTCCACTCATGATGATTCCTGAAGCTCAAGACCTTTTCTTTCTCGCATGTGTTCAAACCTGCACTTTGCTGATGTAGCATATTGCAGCAGCAGCAACTTCTGCCATGTAGCTATTTGTGAAAAAAAGGTGCAATATAAATAAAGGGAAAGTTTTCTTTTTCTAAGGCTTCCATTTCTGAACCATGTTGTAAGCTGTTTAAAAATAATTCTGTGATACCTTTGTGGTGACAGTACAGGCTGGTAAAATAAATTTGTTAGTCCTGAGATGACAGGTGTATGATACAATCACGTTATGCAGGTATACAAGCGCAAATATGCAGGTGGCAGTCACCACCCATATTTTTTTTTTTTTTATGTTGGTGCTCTATAGATTGATGTAAATATGGGTGGTTTTACCAAAAGAAAAAAAAAATGTGCTCCTTACTGTATGAAATTTGGCACTTAAGCAAATGAACACTTTTGTATTGTTTTGTATTGTTCTTATTTCAACTCTGTCATTCTGTGAAGTTCTGGATGTTACTCAGCTGGATTGCTTGTGCTGCGCCACGCCAGCCTGTCGATACTGCTGCTGAAGCTGGGACCCAGTGTGGGGTGATGGGAAGAAACCGCATTGGTGACTTCCAGGTATGGGGACTCTTCCCTCTCTAAACTAAATCAGGTGTTTGGATGGTTTTTGGCAGACACCTCTGTCGGGTAATTTTTGGGGCATTTTGTGGATAAACCATTGCTACGTGCTGAGGAATGGTGACTGTGTGGGCTCCAATGTGCGATGCAGTAATGTTTGTGTTGGGAAGGAAGGCAGAAGCAGGAATTTCGAGAAGTTTAAATACAAGCAAAGATTCGAACTTAATCTGGTGTTCTTGAATCTGTGTTGATTTCCAGGACTGCAGTGATGTAGAATCATGGTCAGCATCTGTATTTGATGATTTTGGTTTTCATTTGTTATTTGGATACATGGAAACATCCCTCTGAGTTTTTATATTCTGCAGGTAATATAGTGGGGTCTTCATGGTATGTCTTGTTATGAATAAAAAGTTCTGCCTTTTTTTGAGGATGTCTGTGTTATCTGTGTGACTGGAAAGTGTAATTCAGTGCCTGAAACTCAAGATAGTGATTACAGCTCCAGACGAGCATTAGGATACTCCAGTTTGCTTTTGGCCTCACGTGATTCCCAGACGCACTTCTACTTGTAGATTCAGTTTTCCCAAAATATTAAAGGACATCAAAACTATTTGGGCCCCACATTGAGTTTTGATGTCTAGTTCTCCTATAAATGGTCTTCAAGCGTGGCACGGTTTTGTGGGGTTTGTACCTCTTGCCTCTGATGTGAAGCTGATCCGATCAGTCCCTTGCTTTTGAAGGAATGTTTTCCTGAATCCAGCAAGTATGTAAATGTGGTGTATTTTTAATCCCATTTTTGAAAGATAACAGAGTACCAGATGTAAAGGAAAGTTAAGGTAAGAACCAGAAACGATTTTAACATTTTAGTTTTTACTGCATAAAGAAATGAAGTCATTTAAGCACTGTTGCTTTCCTGAAGTACTGCCCCTGCAAAGCATCTGCACTTTCTTTCCTTAACAGTTGTACTTAAGGTTCAATTCACTCTCTACTGACCTTGCACATCCATGTTCCTTCCCATTTTACATCATGCCACTAGTCTACGTAGCTGAAGTGCCGCTGCAAATGCTGCTGCAATGGATCCTCCCCCCAAATGTGAAACAGATGTTAAGTGACTTGCTTTCTTTTAATGTTATTAATTCCTGGCAAC